CATTTTCTTCCTCGAGTCCTAATCTGACAACATTCGTTGTTTTTGAGCGTCGACCGTCTTTCCCCGGTCACAAGGCACCCTGGTTATGACTGTATACAAGCTGCATTTCGGGCTCCAATACAGTCAAAATGAGCGTGCGCTTGCGCTCGACCAGATGCTGTTATTCTAAGGCTGTTAGATCGCCAAGATCAACGGTCAAAATCTGTGGAAGTGGGGTCTTTTCCCCCAGGAATCTCTGACCGAACCTGTTGTAAGGGGGAGAACCAGGGAGGGGAAAAAGGGGAAAAATGGTTATAGGGGGGTAGGCAGAGACTCTGAGGGGGGGGGTAGGCAGAGACTCTGCGGGGGGGCTAGGCAGAGATTCTGCGGGGGGGGTAGGCAGAGACTCTGAAGTGGGGGGTAGGCAGAGACTCTGAGGGGTAGAAGGGGAAAAATTATGATATCGAGAAGGCAGGGGGGTTGGAGAAAAATGCGACTACTGTTAAGTGAAATTTCTATAAAAAAGATAAAAATAAAATCTAAATACATGGGGTTCGTACGCGGGGGAGTCGGAGGGTAGGGGGAGGAGTTGGCATTTGCCGAAAAGCCGAGGAAGAAACAAATTGACGAAGAGGGGGGGGGTCTGGTGGCTGAAAGAAAAAAAAAAGCTCAGAAGAAACCTAAAGATAGAGCATGACAAAACAAGAGACCAGAGAACAAATGACCTAAGATTTTGAGATTGAGGGTCTCTGTCGTGGGTGAGTGGTATATGACATGTGCTAACTGTTGGTGGACAGATCAGGACATCCCGAGTCCTGATTTGAATTAGGTGAGTGCCATAAAATGTTCGAGGTCTCATCCTTACGCAGGGGTGACACGAATGAATCGACAAACGGTCCCCACATTAACAACAACAAAAAAAGCTCGGACTCCTTTTTTGAAAAGCTAACAGTAAAGGAAGACGGAATACAATCAACGTTTCCTTTGCCCCCTCCCGGCACGGTGACCCCCTCCTATGTTTTTTTGGGGGGGCTGTGACTACGGGCTTCCCCCGAACACGACGCACCCTAATTTTGGCTGCATGGGACCGGAAAGCAGGTCGTATACATTGATAATCAGGGTGCGTTGTGTTCGGGGGGGAAACTAGGACGCGGTCACGATTTCTGTAAAAAATCCAGTTCGGGCATGCCTCGAATACAACGCATCCATCCCCACCCGACCCTAAAGGTAGGTTGTATACATTCACGATTTTCCCTCTAAAGCTTTGGGACGACATTGGCGAAAATCGTGACTGACTCGGAAGCGCATTTTTCAAACCGAAACCGTAACGGCGCCCT